AGACTGATGTGAAGTTTGGCACCTCTATTCACCACACGGAGGGTCTTTCAGATGGAGTTCATGTGGATGTTTGGGGGATTTCCAAGAAGGCATCGACGGGAGGTAATAGATGTTTGGTTTTCTTTATTGGTGGCTGCTCTAGGCATGTTTGGGTTGCAACCAAATCCCGATTGAATAAAGTCCTAGTAGTCTCCAACAGATTAAAGAAGTGTGAGATTGGCAGAAAGGTGAAGGTACTTCATTCTGATTTTAGTGGAATGTACAAGAGGGACCTATTTCTACATTTGAGCTGAGCTCACGACATTTTGAGATACTTCGGTGGAAAGAAAATCTTGGGATAACGAGATAAGATGACAGATTTGATGAGCTATTCCTTGCTAGAGGAGGACCGGCGTTTGATGTCGAGTATTGATTCTGATATTGATGCTTTAATATATTTGGATCATCTTGGTCATAGGTTGACAACTGTTGCGATTGGAGATAAAACTTTATTGGATGTTTGGTCTGGTAGTGTCACTTCGGTTGGGGCTTCGATGAGGGAGCTAATTAACTCTCAGTAGGTGGAGAGTTTTGGACAGACCTTAGATGTATCACAGCGGATGGAGAGTGATGCTACTCCATATTGGATGGAGATTACTCCACATACTCTAGATCATACTGCATCGTTTGAGATTGTAGCTGAGGTGACACAGTTAGGGGATCATTTAGATTTGGGTGCAGATGATGAGTTGGTTGATTCGAATATAGCTGGTGGATATGATTTGGATATGGTCATTGGTTCACCTCAGGTGGAGGTGTTTAATTTGTTTCACTTTGGGGCCATTTAGAGAGCTATCAGCCGTATATTTGTTGGTGAAGAGTTGAGAACTTTTTTTTTTGATTGAGAACCTTTGGAGGTCATTTGGGAAACTACGTGAATGCTTGATTCATTTGTCAAGAGGATATGTAGGTAGTCATTTATGATGCAGCCGATTTGATGGGTAGATACCGACGTTAGGAGAGTGTTCGCATTCTCATTTGAGTCTCGACTTGTTGTGGATTGAGTCCGTTGTTGTGATTTCGTTTCACTTTGTACTGGATGCAACAAGTGAGACATTTGGGTTGGTTGGTGACAGCTCAGCTTTGGAAAAACTTCACCGAGGTGGAGAATCGAAGAGGAAACAACAAAGTTTAGGAAATAGCGGAGGACAGTTTTGAGTTCGGGCCGGTCGATCGCGAGTGGCGTAGCGGTCGACTGCGAATGTACACGAACTCAGGAAAAGTCTCTGGACTTTTTGCGGTCGACCGTGAGTGGTGCGACGGTTGACCGCGAGACCCTATAGTGGTTTTTTATTCTCTGTCGATTGGCCACGGTCGATCACGACTGGCGCGGTGGTCGACCGCGATGCGGTTTTGGGCCTAGGCTTGGTTTCCTGTTCTGATTGGGTTTTCTATTTGATATAAATAGAAATACGTTTTGTTTAGGGTTTTCTATCGTTCCAATTGTCGGAATTGGATTTTGGGATAGCTTGAAGGTGATTTTGAGCATAGAAAAGAGAGATCTTTCTGAGCAATTTGTTTGAGGGTTTAGTTTGAGAGATTTGAGAGATTTGTTTGAGAGGTTAGTTGAGTGATCTTGTAATCTCTACTTTGCACTCTCTTTCTCTATAGTTGAAACTCATCCCTTCTTGCCCCGTGGACGTAGGTAATTTGCCGAACCACATTAAACTTTTGTGTTTGAGTTGGTATCGTTATTTTTAGATTGTTTTGGCTTTCTCTCCCGGCGTTTGTGTTTGTTCCGCTGTGCACAACACATATAATTTAGTAAGAGAGTGAACTTGAAATCCAACTTACGATTAAATGAAAGAAATTATTAGTATAAAGGAAAGACATTTTCTCGTGAAAAATAGTTAATCTTTCATTTTAGGTGTGGGGTTCATCAATGGATGATGACTACAAAGTTTGTACTACTGTTGTATTGCGAAATGTAAAGTTATGGAGCTTTTTAAGAAACTTTTAGTGTCTCATTATAATTTTAAAAAATAATCTCACATTTTGTGTGTTCTAATATCTGAGTACTACTATAGCTTGTACATGTTAGTCTAAGTGTGTAGACCCAAAGCTAGAATCAAGAAGACGAAGAAAACAGGAAACAAGTCGACCGTCTAGTGTCGTCCGTCTGGTCGACCGCGAGGCCATAGGCAGGACTGAGCAGAAAACAGCCTCTCTGGCGCGGTTGAACTATGGCCAGCTGACCCGGTCGACCGCGATGTTGGCCTCATTGTTATGAGTCTACTCTCTAATATTGTTTTGATGATTACAAACAATTCCTAACAATGTGTGTCGAGTGTAGTGTTTGTTTTTGATATTTATTCTACACAAGATCCAAGTTGGAGGTTGGATGGATTGAGCCTTCACGATCACATCAAATGGAGGATTGGGGGAATAATGGAATGAAGCCATTGCACATCAAGTCATATTCAAGATCAGGCTTCATCCGCAACCAAGTCAAACATATTGAAGATCTATCAAGCTTGGATAAATTAGTTTTTTATGGTTTATACCTTGTGTATTAATACCTTAAACTCGATATTATACACACACATAATTTAATGGTTTATGTGTTTTATCTATAAAAGTTTTTGTAAACAAATAGATATATAATACTTATTTGTTTTCTATGTGGATAAGTTATTTTTGTTTAGCTATATAGATATGAAGCAATATACATCTTCTTTTTCACATTTATGTGTTTTATATTCTATTGAATTTATAAAATATTATATTTATAGATCGGAAACTTATTTACACTATTTTCATATCTTGTATAAGTCTATAAATCCATTCTAAAGTGTTTCAAAGTTTTGTATATCTTGTATAAGTCTATAAATCCATTCTAAAGTGTTTCAAAGTTTTGTTTAAGTCATTCTGGCAAAATCAAGTTTTCAACATGTTATAAATCCATTCTAAAGTGTTTCAAAGTTTTGTTTAAGTCATTCTGGCAAAATCAAGTTTTCAACATGTTTATACTTTTGTGATTTTGCAAAATGATGAGATTTTACAGATAGGGAATGAAAATTGAAAAATTCTTTTTGTAACATGTTCATTATCATGTTTACAATCATTTTCTAAAGTTTATATTTTTCTGAATTTATTTGATATTTTTAAACGAGGTTTGAAGTTTGTTTTTACTATTCAATCCAGGTCGATAACATGTTATCAGTCAACTGATGGTTTGTATCTGTCGATTGATGAAACTGTCTGCAATCATCAAAAGTTTCTATTTCGTTTTGGTCGACTGACCAGTGACTGATGAGGTCATCAGTCGACTGACCATGCTTATCAGTCGACCGATGAGCTACTAGCTGCATATAACGGTCAGCTCGTCTGTCAACTGATCCAACCCGTTAGTCGACTGATGGCCTGTAACGATTATATTTTTAGTTTCCGTTTTTTTTATCTTTTTGCTGGGATTTCACTTGGGTTTTGAGTTTTGTTTCTTCATCCTATATATACCCTATATCATTTCACTTCTGAACTAAGAAGAGAAGGTTTTAAAACAAGTTTAAAAAGAGTTTTAGTTTGTTTTATGTGTTTGTTTACAAAATAAGTTTTATGAAGATTGTTTTACAAGAAGAGGATATAAATTTCAGTTTGGACTTTCAATCTTCCAATCCCTCTCTCTTGTTATTAGAGACGTATTTCTAAACTCATATCTCTAGCTTGTTTATGCTTTAATTGTTATATTCATATTTGCTAGATTTATTTGAGTTTATATTAGATTTTCTCTTTGCTTGCACACACAACCATTAAGCTTGAGTATTTTCACATATTGTATAATTTAGGGTTGTGGTGAGTGTAACCTTGAGAGTGAGCCTAAATTGTGTTCTAATCTATTATAGAGAACAAATCTTGTAATTGAGCCTTATTGTGAGAGTATCAATTTGTAATACATATTTACACCAAGAGGAGTGTGTGGTGAGGACGTAGTCGATACCAAGAGGAGTGGCGTCGATAGTAAAGCCTAGAGAGAGGTAGTAAAGCTGAGCACTTGAGGGAGGCGATACGTGAGGATCAACATTTGAATTGTAGTTTGTGTATGTACATTGTGAGTGACTTGTAGAGTTTTTGGTGAGCTAGAAAACCGAGTGTGTAGAGAAGTTCCGGTTTCCAAACCGGGTATGTCGTGATAGTGGATTCTCCCCAGAGTGGGGAGTGGAGACGTAGGTTGGAAGGACCGAACTCCGTGATATATTATTGTGTTTGATTTGCTCTTTGTGTCCACTATTTGTTTATATTGTTTCTTGTTTATTTTGCCCTTTGCATATATATCCTTGCTTTAATTCAATCGAATATCTATCTTGCTAGGATATATTTGTTAATATAGCTTTTAATCGATATTAATATCTAATAAGATTAGCAATAACCCTATTTACCCCCCTCTAGGGTACTTTCATGCGAACATGCAACGTGCAGGGTGTAGAATCAATGCTCTGGCCGATCGACTTGGGGACCAAGCCCGGTCGATCGTGACAGGATTTTTCTGTTTCCTAATCAGTTTTATATTCTGTTTGGGCTGGGATTTCTATATATACCTAAACGATTTTAGGGTTTTGTATGCATCAAAAAGAAAGTTTTTTGAGAGGATTCTTTAGAGAGATCCCAGAGAGATTAAACTCTAGTTTGTGAGCTCGTAATCTTTCTTCAAATTAATCAAAGAATTGTGTGGTGTGACTTCCGAGGACGTAGGCACGTTGCCGAACATTGTTAAATCTGGTATGTTTTTTTGTTTACTTTCCTATATGTCTTATCTTTTATTTGCGGTGATTTTCCTACTCTCTACTCTCAAACACAAGGTCCGAAAGGACACAGATTCGATTTGATTGTTTCGAATCCCAAACAGTACAGACTAGTTAGCATTCCTCTCAGCGGAGAGATAATTTGTAATTCGAGGTACTTTAAATTCTAATCAACTGTTCTGGATTTTCCATATTGCTTATTGAAGAAGAGGAACTTATTTGAGAGTTTGATGGATAGACGTAATACAAACCCTAATGATTAGTAGAAAGGCTAACGGTTGAGGCCTAGTGAGTCAGAGCCTGTTTATGAATTCTAGAGGCCCATTAACCTTTTTCAGTTTCCCGCCACATTTTTATGCCATCGCCGCTACTAGAGCGCACTAGGGATTCACTGTGTACGTCCCCAATCTCCACCCATCGATGGCTTCAGACTCCGACCCTCCCTCGAAGCGCCGCAAGAAGAGCGACGGAGACGAAGTCTCTCAGAAGAACGACAATGAACCGTCGGCGGCGCCTCTCGTTGTGTTCGCTCATGGCGCAGGGGCTCCGTCCACCTCAGAATGGATGATCAGGTTCATGGGTTCTTTTTTTTTCCATTTTATAATTATTTATCATACAATTTCCGTAACTTATGTAAAAATGAGAGATGTTTTAGATTCGGAGGTTGATTATTGCGTGCCGAGATTGGTACACCCATTACCTGTTTGATGAAATGCTTTCATAGGAAATTGAATTTTCTTTTTTTCTCTTTGGACGTCCTATGTTAAATTCTCATTAATGAAAACAATTATGTGCTGATCGCCGAGCTGTTGTCTTTGCAGATGGAAGGAAATGCTCAAGGAAGCACTGGGTGCTGTTGAAGTAAACACCTTTGATTACCCATGTGGGTTGAGCTAGTCTTTGTGTTTGTTTACTGTATATTCTTACAATGTAACGAAAATAAAAATTTTAATTTGTAGTATTTATTTATATTAGTTTTGAAATTTAATGGAGGTTGTCTTAAGTGTAAAGTTTTGATCTTTAAAATATTATGTATATTTTTATCTGATTCAACCGAATTAATCAATCAAATAGACGAAATAGTAAACAATATAATCTTGAAATCAACCTCTTCTTTTTTTTTCTTTTTTTTTTAATAGAAAAAGTGCGAAATTTAAACTATTTGTTAATCCAATTGACTCATTGGCAGATATTTCTGGTGGGAAACGTAAAGCTCCTCCTAAAGCTGAAAAATTAGTTGATCATCACCTGGATGTTGTAAGAAATGCCATAGCAAAGCATCCTGGGCATCCTCTTGTTTTAGCAGGAAAATCCATGGGTTCAAGGTATGCTTTAGTATTTGGCTCTGTAGGTGTATGCATATAATTATAAAAGGAATTACTCTTCTCTCCTCTTTAACGTTTTTTAAGAATGCAATTATCGCTGTTTTTTCTTGAACAGAGTCAGCTGCATGGTGGCCAACACTGAAGAGATCCATGTTTCGGCAGTTATTTGCTTAGGCTATCCTCTAAAGGTTTGTTGTTTATTCTCACTTAATTGTCTCCATTATGTAATGCAGATATTCATCTCTACCATCAGATCATTGTCTCTGAATTTGTTAGTTTTTCCATTCAGTGATCATTATGTTAGTATGTTGGGAATGCTTGATCCGCCGAATATATGTTGAAAGTGTCATAGTTACTTGTTACATGCATTACTGGATCATAATTTTTGATATGTTACAGTTTTACCCACACAAAAAAAAAAAAAAAAACACTTGCTGAGCATTCTTCAAGAATCACTGTGAAATTCCAAAGCGTATGTTATTACCAAGACTTCAAGTTGTGGTATCTGATTTGGTACCAAATTGCTATCCGATTATCACTACTGGCAATTTCAATAATTTCGTCAGTTTTGTTCAAAATGAAGTGCTATTTAAAAGTTCAGAAAAAAGTACTAATTAAGTGCTAATCTTTTCAGAAAAGTTAAGTGTTAATAATCAATCGAGATGATCTGAACATGTTTTTGCCGATATCACACATCACTTTTTGATGATATAGAGTATCATGTGATGGTGGATATAAAAAGTCATGACATTTAAAATAATTGTCTAATTTACAATATAAGATATTATAATAGAAGTTTCAACATTGGTCAAATATATTAATAATCTCAACTTCTTTGATATTTTTCGAGCTTGTTATGCAGTATGTTTAATAATTGATAAGTTGTGAATTCTCTCTTCAAAATTTAATGTTCGTAATTGTTCATGTAAGTTTGTTTATTATTTAAACACCATATCATGTATCTATCGTGGCTACACGAAGTATTTGGGTTCTGCAAGATTTCTTGAGCCTATCTAATTTTCATTAAGAAACTCATGTCGAAATTCAGTAGTTATATGAAATAGTTTTGTTTATTTCAAACATACTCACAGTTCCCATCGGTTATTTACTGATACCAATCAATATTACTAATTGTCTGTACCATTATTTTTTCACCTGTACCTACAGTTCAAAAATCTGATCCTAAACTTCTAAAATCGCCAACAACATCATCACTGATACCTTAAAATTGTGACCAATATCAAAATTTTGACTCTTGTATATTTCAATACTACTACATGGAGCATATGCGCATTCAACTTAAATCTTTTAAGAATACCCATGTTGATTCCTCATTTTGACACAGGGAACTAATGGAGCGGTACGCGATGAGCTTCTAGTACAACTTAAAGTTCCAACAATGTTCGTGCAGGTAAGGGATAAAAATAGTTGTCCTATCCACTGTGATATACTCCATAAAGAAATATTTATTCAAGTATTCAGCTTATTAGGTGGTTTATTTCTTAGGGTAGCAAAGATAGCCTCTGTCCTCTGGAGAAACTGGAAACTACTCGCAAGAAAATGAAGTGTATCAATGAGCTCCATGTCATAGATGGAGGCGATCACTCCTTTAAGATCGGCAAGAAGTTCCTGGAGTCCACTGGATCGAACCAGGATGAAGCTGAGAGAAAAGCAGTTGAAGCGATTTCAGAGTTTGTTTCTCGGTCTACCATGACTTGATCCTTTTGATGCTCGATGTCTGTAACATCTTTACTCTTTTGTTGCACTTGCTTGATATGCTAGGTAAAAACGGGATATGATATGTGATCTGAATGCTATTTAAAGGATCTCGCTTTTGTTCGGATATCTGATCCTTATAGTTTTAGGGTTGTGCGTCTAATGTTCTGTATTGTTCGTAGAGTGCTCATTAGATGTGAACACTTTTTCCAATGTTTCCTTCTAAACATAGTTCTAGTCTAAGGCACATAGTCCTTTGGCACTTATTTCGTAGACATTTGTACCCATTTTCTAGTAAAAAAGCTTTACTAACACCCGTATACAAAATAGCGGTAGAACTTTCTCTTAGTACTCTGACAATATATGATACTTACAAATTAACAACACTACTTTACTAAAGGTTGCTACTTCATGAAACCCTCTCTAAAATGTTACTTATTTACTCATCCTACAGAGGAGCAACTATCCACATCTGCACACGATAGGAAAAGGAAACGCAAAGCCATATTCTGCAACTGCACATAATAATGTCTGATATCTCTGAGTACAACTAATGCCATTGCCATCTCATCACAAGAAAATAAAGCCATTTCAGACTAGGCTTCTGCCGCCGATGAGCACATCTTTATAGGGGGTTTCCTTATATGAAGACGCAGGAACAGGAGGAGGCTGAACCTGTAGATCCTCTTCTTCCCCCAGCCGTCGCCTTCTTCTATTTTCTTTGAGGATTAGAGGAACCTTTCCTTCTCTTTCTCTAACAAGTCTTTCTAATGCTCCGCCTCGGAGCTTCTCTAATCTCATTCCGTCCATTTGCTGCATCTTGAACACTTTTCCTACGTGCAGAAGCCCGCCGACGAAAAATAGCAAGCTCCCGAATATGCATAACCAAATCCAACTCTTCGCCTGCAAGCATATTAAGAAAATTTGCTGCGAGCATATTAAGAAAGCTTTACCCAAGACCTTGCATTAGATGCTTAATTTACTTAACGTGCAGTAGCTAGATTGGTACTTTAAATTGCAAATGCATGTTATCTTGTTATGTTTAGCACTGATGTTCGACCATTTTATGATTATCAGGCAAAGAAACTGATGAACGTTATCAATTTCTTTACGGAAACAAACATCACATCGTCGGGAAAGTAAAGTTACCAGTAGGAAAAATAATTGTCAACGTTCAAAGTTATGTCGGAAAAATATATTTGAAATGCAGTGATATATAGGCAGCATGAAGGCACGAAATTTGGAAACAGAGGCATTCTGCTTTATTTGTAGAGTAATTATTGAAGTGAGTGCTTGTCATAGGGACAGTCTAAAGCTTGCGTTCTATCTTTGCAATCTGTGGGTGTTTCCTCTGTATTAATTCATAGAGGAAATGGGGATAAGCTGATGAAACATGGCTATAAGCAGGACATGTATATCAATGAAGTCTCATGTTTCTATGGTCCCATACTCCTCAATTATAGAGTGTAGGAGTGTTTTTGTTTATTGGGTGAGAATGCTCTCAACTCCAGATGCTACTCCAACTTGTGAGAAGAGCAATTGTTCAGGATAATCAGAAAGATAACCGATCCAAGAAGAACGGTTATGTAAGCAAACCTTCTTTCTTCCCGTTTTCGGGTCATTTCATGATAAAAATCATTTACCACTTCTTACCCGTGAATCAAACTGGCTCTCCTTTACATCTCTCAAATGGAGAGAAAACAAAACATAACCAAAATTTTCAATGTATGATAATTTTACTGCATTTCATATGTTCAAAATCGGGAAACCTGTTCAGATATGAAGAGTTATCAAAACTTTACCAGCAGCATAGAACCATAGACATGATGTTGATTAAAAAACCCTCCCACCAAGAACAGCAGACTCGCCATCAGAAAAGGAATCTGAACACTCTTCTGCAGCAACTGGACATGGCCGTTGGATCTCTCGTAGACTTGGCACAGATTCTGGATTGAACCTAAGACCCAACATGCTGGGGCTGCGATCAACAAATTGAGGGCATGCTTCTCTAGCTTGTAGCTATACCCTCTCGCCATCTGCAATGCACCACAATTATATATATAAGTTCATATCAAAGCAAAATGACAAATTTATCATCTTTTTATCTGAGTTTCAGAAAACAAAATCTATCATTTTTACCAGTTAGCTAGATGTTTGATAGATTACAAGGAAGCTTGATATTATTTAAATTGGTAGAATTTTCATGATTTTTATCTTTTGGCTGTAATATTGACTTTTTATTTTCGGAAGGAAAGGGCTGTGATTGTACACTTCTTCGTGAGCAAACTCAGACATTAAGAAGTTCTAAACTACGTTTCAATTTTATGGCTGCAACTTATTGGTTCACCATGAAATCATGGTAATTATAAGAAACTACGTACTGAGAAGAATTACATGCTTCCTATAGCTCTAGCCATAACATTTATTTCATTTTAAGAAAATAATTTACGCCCAAATAAATTTACTGCTTCTTAAAGCATACTTTGCTGATCTACAAGCGAGTAACGCGGAAGTCTTGTTCCTTTTTCTGAAGATAAACTCAAAGATTACTGATTTAAGTTATCTGTTTTGCTAAATATAATTATTTTAATTCTAAAATCTTAAACTAACACAAATTTTCCCTTTATGATTTACAGCTCATCTAGTTAGCCTTGCACTTTCGTTTCTAATCCGCTTCCTGATATTCCTCAATTTCTTCCCCTCAAAAAAAAAAAAACAAAAAAAATCCCAATTTAAAAATTTCAGAAAATTCTGCACTTAAAAAACAAATTAAACCCTACTCACCTGGACCAACACGAGCAGAACCCCCGTGAACCCCAGCACACATCCAACGATCACAACCAGCGGAACTCCAAACTCAACAAGCGCCAACTGCGGATCAAACTCAATAAGAGTAACACAATAATCAATTCCCGCCATGTGCGCGACGAGATCATGGCCATTCACAACCGCGACGAGCGAAATACCGATGAGGACTACGACGAGGCCCGTCATGTTGGCGAGGGGAGCGGCGGAGAGCTGGGATGAGAAACCGGCGACGAGGAGGGCGGTGGCGAATACGTAGATGCCGGCGTTGATGTACTCCCAGCGGTGACGGATGGGCCGTGGGCCGTATACGCGGCAGTCTCGGGCCGTGGCGAGCTTGGCCATGGTAGTTGTGGTTAGCGGAGGGCGAGGCTTACGGTTTGGTTCGGATGAGAAGGAGAGGGCGAGAGAGGTGATGGCACGTAGAGCTCAGGAGCGGGGGGAGACGTGGAGCGCATGTGACACGTGGCTACTTGCATGTATTGTTGGGCTTATGTGGTGATAGGGAAGTGGACTGGGGTTTAATTGGATTTGACTTGGACCGGGATAGAAGATGACAAAATGGACCCAAAACCAATTGCCCACTCGTACCCACCAGCCAAATAAACCATCCAAACCCACCCATTTAGTTAAATGAGTCATAAATTGGTGGATATAGTTTCTATTAAAGATAAATGAGTTATTAATGGGCGAGTTATTATCTACCCATTTGCCAATTTAGATGGATATTGTTTTAAAAACATCCTCAACGCTTTAACAATTACAAAACTTATTTTTAAAAGTTAAAAATTATAGAAAACACTTAAAATGACTAACAACCCCTTAAAAATTTAAGATTTGTAAAAAACACCCTCAAAGTTTAAAATACTATAAAAACGCCCTCAAGAGTTAAAAATTATAGAAAAAACTATCAAAATTTTCTAACCTCACAGATGACACATGAAATTCAAAAATTACCAACAACCCCCTAAAATTTTATAATTTGCAAAAAATACGCTTAAAAGTTGTAGAAAATGAGAAAAACACCCTCAAGATTTTAAAATTACCAAACAATCTTAGAGTTTTCTAAACTTACAAATGACACACGAAATCTAAAAATTTTTAATAGTCCCCTAAAAATTTTAAATTTGCAATTAACACCCTCAAAGTTTTAAATTTTTAGAAAAACACCCTCCATAGTTTAGAATTACAAAACCATCACAAAATTTCAAAATCTACAAATGACACATGAAATCCAAAAATTACTAGCATCCCTTGTAAATTTATAATTTACAAAAAGCACCCTCAAAGTTTAAAAATTGTAAAAAGTACCCTCAGTAGTTCAAAACTACAAAACAATCTTAGAATTTTCTAAACTTGCAAATGACACATGATATCTAAAAAATTTCGGTAGTCCCCTATAAATATCGAATTTGCAAATAACACCCTCAAACTTTTAAAAATTACAAAAAACACCCTCAAGGATATATAAATATAAAAAGTAAGCGCTCACAATTCTTCGTCGGCAGGAGATATATACGTGTGTGGGATCTTTTTAGTACCTCGTCAAGATTTAACTGTTGCATATATAGTTGGTCTTTGATGCCTACATGACTTTCCTTTTGGAGGAACCCGTCTCATATTATTAATTTAATGTTAAGGTTAGGTACTTTTGCTACCTGTAAATATCGGAGAATGCACGAGAATTTGGAAGAAAGTTAGGAAAAAAGTTATATGTTTATGCATTAATCTAGTTTGAGTAATTAGAACCAATGTTATTTGCGATCAGTGAGTTGAGATATTGACGCACAAAAGAGATTCTTCCAAGTAGTCGATTCAATTGAGAAAGAGATGTTTATAGAAAACCCCTAAAAGTTTGTAAAAACCCTCTAAAAGTTTACAGAAAACCCCCTAAAAGTTTACAAAAAACCCCTAAAAGTTTACAGAAAACCCCCTAAAAGTTTACAAAAAACCCCCTAAAAGTTTGTAGAAAACCCTCTGAAAGTTTACAGAAAACCCCCAGAAAGTTTACAGAAAACCCCCTGAAAGTTTGCAGAAAACCCCCTAAAAATTTGCAGAAAACACCTAAAAGTTTGTAGAAAACCCCCCTGAAAGTTTGCAAAACCCCCTGAAAGTTTGCAGAAACCCCCCTGAAAGTTTGTAAAAACCCCCTGAAAATTTACAAGTAGATCCCTAAAACTTACATATATATAGAAGCATCATAATCATAACTAAATGGGTTATTGGGTCATCCATGAACCACCTATTTAGTAAATGGGTGGTTGAGAAGTGATTCATTTAGCAAATGTTAAATGAGTCATAAATGGTCAAGTGGTCATAAATGTGCTCATCCATTTATGACCCAACCAAAACCACCCATTTGACATAAATCACCCATTCGGCAGATGCGCTGCTTGGCCCCGTACTCACTACTAAATAAGGATCAATATTTATTGAGATAATATTTAATATTCTTAAAGTTATTTTAAATCTAGTCAATGCCCAAAAATTTTCTAAAATTTGAAATTACTATATTTATAATTGGATTTGACTTGGACCGGGATAAAAGATTTTGATTGATTAGTAGTGAGTAGGAGGCCATGCAACGCATCTGCCGAATTTAATCGGGTGCTTATGCAAAAGAATGCTACATTTTATATGCGCAAAAATTATATTGACAAAAATTATGTGTACAAAATTAGGTTTTATGTGCGACTTTTATAGTAACGGTCAATATTTACTGAGATAATAGTTAATATTCTTAAAGTTATTTTAAATCTAGTCAATGTCCAAAAATTTTCTAAAATTTGAAATTACTATATTTATAATAAACTTAGGTCAAGATAAATTATATACAAACCCCAAAATTTTTTGAAATTACTACATTTATAATGAACGTAGGTTAAGATAACTTATATACAAACCCCTCGTATATACCTTTAGTTCCACTTAAACCCCTAAGCTATTTATTAGCACTTAGCATTCTTCCCTATTTGAGAAAGGATAAGTGCTAATAAATTAACACTCTTCCCCTATATTATATCTTTGTATTTTTATCTTTTACTATGGTTTTTAAAATCGTACTATTTTGATTCAAATCATATCGAATCTTTTGTTGATGTGAAATAATCAAACAGATGAATTAGTCGGAATGAGGTTGATCAGGGGCCAATAACTTTTCCGAATATCTGGTTTGGAATTGAGCTATTCTTCCCTGCACGTATAACAACTCGTAATAGGGGGTCTGGTTCCCCCGTTGTCCCTCCGACGATTAAGTCAACTAAATACTTGAGTGGGAAAGAACCGAAATGTAGCAGTTCTTAAGTGCAATGGAATACAGAAAAATACTGAGAAAATTGCTTACCCTTGTTAGGAATCGTTTCTCCTTTCATGTCAACGAAGGAGGGGTATTTTTGTCTCTTTAGCCGAGTCCAAGCTGGCGACTGAGTCAGCTTTGACTTTACAAGTGCCAATCGCGGAGTGACATGATCTTTTCGACATTTAATAAGATGGGACAAGCGGCATGCGAAGCCAGCGTGGTCCGATGTGCCAGCGGGGGGCTTGAGATTGCGGTTGCCTTTTGTCTTGCATGGAGGAATGTCGAGAGTTACCGCCTTTCGAGTCGGCCCTCGTGAGATGTCGGCGAGATAATTAGTGGAGTAGGCTTGTGGCGAGTCATCTTTGAGGGTGACAAGTTCATCTCTGAGGCGCCTCTCGACAAAGGGTGCTCGGTATTGAGGTCGGTGATGGCTCAATTCCAGGCGCTATAATAGTTCGCCCTTCCCACAGATGAGGTGTTCCTACAAGAGATGTTGAGCCTTGGCCTGCACTTGGTCCTTAAGGGCTATTTGCTGCGCATTGCCTTGCTTGAAGAGGAGTTGTTTTCCCGACTCTCTCACATGTAGGGGTTCATTCGGTCCAGATACAGCTCGGATATGATGCTTATCATATCCATATCTGCTTATCCATCTCGGATACATATATGGATACGGATATACCTCGGTAAGGAAAATTCATAACCATATCCGCTAAAATCAGATACGATTACGGATATACATACAGATATATAAGCAGATATGCATGCAGACACAAAATAGATATGAGAAAACTAGATAGTATTGAGAAAAACATAGTTCAAGTGATACAAAAGAGTTCGTTAATATGTTCATTATAATGAAAAGTTAAGATTAGACATCTTGATCATCAAAATTAATTACAAATCCATAATCTAAGAATCGAAACTATAGTAAGAGTATGGCTAATATGTATTAAGATATTTCGGATATGGATATGATATTTTAGTATAAAACCATATTTGTAACCATATCCTATTGGTTATAGATTTGAATAACCATATCTGTATCCTAACGTATACGGTTACAGATATTTTCTCAGATACGGATATGGTTTAACACCCCTACTCACATGCATATGTCTGTAGGTATCGAAAATTGCCTATAGGTCTCCACGAACAGCTCAGTGTTAAGGAACAACGTTGAACGTCACTATCCGGTCCACAGGAGTTCGATTGATGTCGGTGAACGCTTGAAGTGAATCGACGAACTACGTGGACTAACAGAATTTCGGAATAACGAAGGTACGGGCTAATCAGGAGCCTCGCGATGTTTACAAAAGGAACAATGCCCTTCGTGTCTCATTCACTCTATAGATGATCCAAACTATCGGAGCTGATAGAACTCCTTGTCGGCTTTCCAACGCACTTCGAATCACTCAAATCTGAGTTCGGACGAAGAATTTACAGCGGAAGCGGACATATACACCGTAACGAAGTGTCTCGGACCAACGAGACACCCTAAGGTGTCTCGACCAAAGCCGAGACACCCTAGGGTGTCTCGGCCCAAACCGAGACACCCTAGGGTGTCTCGAATCAAGGAGAGACACCCTAGGGTGTCTCGGATCAAGTGGAGACACCCCGAGGTGTCTCCAACGCAGATTTGGGCCTTTAGGTGGTTTCAACCGCTCCAAACTCCCCCGAGCCTATAAATACAAGCCTCAGGCCCTCATTTTTTAAGATCTGGAATTTTGGAGAATTGGCAAAGCCCTGCCGGACTGAAGAGTGATCGAGTTCTTCAACGCAAGAGATCGAGAGTCGTCAGATCTACATCACCCGCATCCAATCCTTAGTATTATCCCGTTGTGGTAATTCTAAGAAGAGAAATTATCTCTCTTTTGTCGAGATAAGCGCTTCTGTTTCTAGATCTCCTCGTGGATCGATGAAGCTCTAGACCTGATCTGATTGCCAGGTAGTCCACGGATATCAACATCCCCGTCATAGGCTAAAGACCCACGCAAGCAAGAGACGACGAACGGATCTTGTGTTATTTTCGAGAAAGTTGTAATTTTTCTTCTTTTCTTTTGACTAAGATCTGAATTCTTTGTAAACACT